CTGTGCGAGACCAGGTACACACAGGGTATAGAACCTGCAATGGCTATGTGAAACATGCCAGTCGTACATGGTGGTTTGATTCGTTTGTGGTATGGAACGCTGTCGCCTTTTGTTGACCTGCGTATCCTGTTGTGTACTTAGTCTGTTGAAGAAAACACAGCCAATATATATATATAGCTTTTTATAGTCCCTCCAATTCAAGAACAATGAACTCAATGAACATGTATCTCTCTCTATATATATGTATATATATAGTTGCGGGTCTTCTGGGGATGCGACAGTGACAGCTGGGTTTGGCCACATATGCGATGACCTTCCCATTGTACAGCTGCTTCACTCTGATAGATCAGGCTTGCCGGGGTCACGTAGCAAAAAACTTGCGTCTATACATATATGCATAATGTATATACCAGGATGAATTTGATCAAAGTCTGCAGAGTCTGACCCGCAACATTGGCAGATTGAACTTGATGATACTTGCGAGACTCATATACCAGCATGCAACACTTGCATGCTGGTTCACACCCATTCCTTCAGGGATTTGGTTTCCAGCCCGCCAGGTCCCGGGCAAGCTCTCCGCGTTTTGGCTGGAGACATCGGCGAAGGGGCCATGGCCTCAAAGTGAGTTTGCAATTGGGCACACTTCTTGCAGTTGTGCTTTTGGAGCACCACCGGAAAACCCGCAGGAGGACATACGAGCATCAACGCATATTTAAATAGTATCATTGCGATGATACGTGTAAGGAAAAGCTCCAAACAAGTCATGTTGCAGTCTTTTATAGTGTATAGAGCAATGGGGGACGCATATATATATATATATATAAAGAGAGCAAGTTTTGGGATAACGTTCAGCCAAAAGAATAGTCGACTATTACAATATATATATATATATATGCCACAATGAATTTCTGAAACCTCAGAGGTTATAGTTATAGATATGAACGAATCGAATCCGTCATGTTGTTTCCTCTTTTTTGGCCAAGACCTTGGCCGTATGCTTTCCTACCCCAGCCATGGTGCCGAAGAAACACCAGAAGAAGAACTGATTGATTTGCTCAGTTGCCACCGCACCGACTCTCAGCGTAGATTGATTGACAGTGAGTCCAGTTCGAGAAGTGTTTGACTGTTCCACTTTCTATATGTTTGATGATGGCGTTCACAAGGTTGGTAATCAAGGTTTGCTTCTTTCTTGCCATGCCCCTGTCACTGCACTTGATGAGGAATCTGGGGCTCCATACGCTTGGAGGGGTCAATGGTCTTTGACTACCTCACAGGTCAAGGTTGCCGCTTGTCCAATTGGGGCCTTGGAACCCAAGACTTCTTCCTTTTTGTCAAGACTTGGCGAAACTTACGTGACCCCTGCCGGCCCCAAGTGGAGTCAGTGCTTGCCACCCCGTGTGCTGGAGCAGGCCTCCTTCCAGGCCATGATCCAGCAAGCGCAAACTCTAGACTGCATTGCATTTAGGTTGCTACCAAAAAAAGATGCACTTGCTGGTTCCATACTCAAACACTGTGTGAGTGTTGCTGGCTGCTTGATTGAAAAGCATAGACCTCTCATCTTTAAGATTGGTGTGACGCACAATGCTGTGTGGCGCTGGGAGAACGTGTTGTACGGCTACGGGGTAGCTCGAGAGCTGTGGTCAAGCATGGTGGTGATGCACATTTCAGAAGAACCTTACAGTGTAGCTATGCTGGAAGCTGCTTTGATAGACAAATTCTGTAGAGTCTTGGCCAATCAATGCAAAGCAACACATCATGGAACTGGTTTTGCCGTTTATCCCAATTATATATATAGAACCAAAAGATTGAGCAAGCGATCGAGCAATGAAACGGCAAACAAACCCTTCCTGCACATGGCTGGGATGCAATTGGGTAGTTTGGTTCATGATGCCTTCCAAGGAGAACCCGGGTGCAAGAATGTCCGTGCTGGTGGAGAAAACATCAAGCTCCCTGATTTCTTGGAGGGCCCCAGTGTGTACATGTGTTACTTTGTGTACAGGAGTTTCAAAAACAAACCAGTGCCTTGAGCACTCTTCATGATGTGGTGGCTTAATTTGCAGGTTTTGACTGCAGTGCTTCAAGTTTGTTTTCCAATTTCGGCTTCAATTCAAAGCAAAGTGTTTACAGTACAATCGCATGGATAGAAAGTGGATTGCCGTACTTTCGTACATCCAGTTCAAAAAGGTGCCATGCGTGATCGATATGGTGTGTCAAAGATCTTCCACTGTATATGGCATATGGCATGCACAGAGTTGAGTTCAATTGTTCACTGAGATTTTGTCAAATTCAGCCTGGCAAGATGTTGTTTCTGAACTTTAATCTGTTTGGTTCGCCGAGGCCACATCTTTCAGAGCTGCTATAAGAACAGCCCGAGGAGTAGTAGCAGACCTTGGCCAGGCTGCTTCCGCCTCTGGTGGTTTGAGGGAGCTCGCCTCTTGCTCTTTGACAAACTCAGAGCGAGATGGACACCAGGTCATCGCTGAACGGTTTGAACTGTCTTTACCAGTTGAGAAGACGGTGTTGCCTAAAAGTGCAGATGTTACGTACACTGGAGAGCTGGTTGTACTCAAGCTAGAGTCTTGGATGCGCTTCATGGCTGAGAATAACGTCTGGCATGCTTTATGTGGCCTGCACAAGCCCGACGCAGAACGAGAGCGGGCTATTCTTGAGGCTTTTTGGAGAAACTATCGAGCTTTACATCCGACCCACAAAATGTGGGACCTCGTGGACTCTGGCCGCCTTGATGTTTCCAGATGCGCTCCGCTCTTGCTACACGGAGACGAAGGTCGCGGTAGAAAGAAAACACCGTTCCTTTGCATCTCGTTCCATTCGGTGCTAGGGTTTGGCACGACTTCAGCAAACTCCCAGCGAACCCGCAGACCGTATGCATCTATGAGACTCAATTTTTCTGGCAGTTCATGGTTGCATAGACTTTTGTCCGCAGTACTTCCTAAGATGACGAGAGACGAACAAGCTTTGGAAGATCTGCTGAAATGCTCAGCCACGTCTGCCATCAAGATGATGGAGGAGGGTGTGAGCAACGGGCGAGGACAACAGTTCTTCGCAGTGGTGCTCAACGTTGTTGGGGACTGGGCATGGATGGTGAAGAGTGGATGCCTGAACAGATCGTACCAAAACGTTCAGAAAGTCCCTTTGACGGCCCGAAGCCAACCTAAGGGCATATGCCACCAGTGCCTGGCCGGAAGGCCCAACATCCCGTTTGAGAACTTTCGCACCTACGGCGGAGATGGTGAACATCCAGACTGGTGGCCGTCAATGTGTACTGAGTCTCCCTTCAGCAGAAGGCCGGCGCTTCTGGATATCCCCTACATTCCAGGGGAAGAGCCATGCTTTTGGTCATTTGACCTTTTCCATGGGAAAGACGTTCTGCGGTGCACTGATGGCAATAGCTTCGGAGCAAATGGGATCGTCCAGTATAGACGCCAGAATGGCAGAGTTGACGGAACATTTGATGGATTACTGTGACCAGCAGCGTGTTTCACCTTTCATCACATCCCTCACTGCTGCCAACATTGGTTGGCCAGACAAGTCAACGTACCCGAACGGGCAGTGGTCGAAGGGCCACGTGAGTGTGATGTTGGGTGGTTTTTTTGCAGACCTGGCCCAGCGCCATCTTCGACTGGATGATGACCCTTTGTTGCCGCTTGCAGTACAGGCAAATGCTGCTATACAGCATTGTATGAGCGTTCTATATGCTTCTGACGTGTGGATGACGAAAGAAGTTGCCATGGATGCGGCCAACAGCGGTCTGCAGTTTCTTGACCTTTACAGACGCCTTGCCTTGGTCTCTCACCGCCTGGGACGTCCGTTGTTTGCATTGATGCCTAAGGCACATGCAGTGGAGCATGTTTTCTGGAACCTCAAGGTGACTGCCCGCGCACACAATTTGACTTTGAACCCGTTAATCTGGTCGGTCCAGGTGGACGAAGATTTCATTGGAAAGACTTCAAGACTTGCCCGCCGGACGGCGCCAGGCCAAGTGATTCGCAGAGTGCTCGAACGGAACTTGCAGGCTGCGTGCAAGCACTGGGCAGCGGCAGGGTGGATCAAGTGAAAAAAGATGGGAGGCGGTTGTGTGCGGGGCCTTTTCATTGAGCAGTTTAACACGTTTCATGTGCAAGGTGTGTATTCTGGAGACTTTGTCAAAACACCAAAAAACAGAAAACTCGACTTTTCCTGAAATAACTCGACTATTTATAAAAACCTACGAATTTGTAGGTTCTTGGTTCCCTTGGAAGGTGTACACTAAATCAACTGGGACTTAAATCAAGAGTGTGAACACTAATGATTTGAGTCCGCTCCTCTGGAACTGAAAGTCCATCTCTTGCATCGTTTCTCCTCCCAAAGACCTGCCAAATCAACACCTCCAAAGTGGGTCTCCACACCTTGATGGCGAAGTCCGACCGAAGAGGTCGGGGCGAAGGACTTCGAAGAAAAACGTTGCCACCCTGTAAAACACTCCAGGTATGCCATTTGCCTAGCTTGGGATGCTTCCAACAGTTCTGACCTGGACCCTCCAGTTCGCATCGAACCTTGGAGGCGACGTGACGCGACGTATCGATCATTCACAACCGGCCCAGGTAGGCAGAAATGCCAGGTGTGGCACACACCGTTCCCAGACCCACATGGAACCGAAAGCGTTGGCATGATTGGTGGCCTCGACCTGGGAAGATGGATGCGGAACCTCCAGCTGCACCAGTGGCAGCTAAAGGTTCCATGTGACTGTGTCTCGTATTTCCAAGAAATCACACAGCAAACTTCGCACCGAGAAGATTGCTGAAGTGACATCGCTAAAGCAACAGATCCAGGTACGTTTTGCTTCCGAGACCCACCTGGAGCCTGAAAACCACTAGTGCACCTGGAGGTTCAGCCGAGGCATGCTAAGGCTATCCATGCATTTCCAGGTTCGATCTCGGACCTCTTCGTCGCTTCCCGCCGAACGCGGCGGTTTCCGCGCGCCGCGAAAGGTTTCGAGGTGCCAGCGCAATGCTTTCGGGATCGGCGCCAGCGACGTCTGCGCAACGTTGCAAGGTCTGGCCGATGGCGTGGAGGGAGCTGAACCTGGGGCCGCGCGGGACGCTGCTTGGTGGGCGGTGATTGAAGGGGTTGGGAGGAGATTTTGGGTAGTACAACACCGGAATTCGCGGTCCTCATGAGATTGCTTAATGATCAGGAACGGGAACTTGGTAAGAAGTGTTCCAAAACTCCTCTAAAAGAGTGTGCAGTGTACTCAGTGTGCATGATTAACTGCCTGGAGTTCACCCCGACATCGATCTTATGGTGGCCCACCGTCCGCACACCGTCCACCCCGTTGAGTCCACACACCGTCCTACGGGTTGATGGTACGGTATGGCACTCCCCATGGCGACCGATCAGTTGGGGTGGTTGAAGTCGGGGTCAACGTAGGAATACCCATGAATACCCTAGACTTCCAAGACCATTAGAAGAATAGTTGACCTGGTATTTGTAGTGTAAAATCCTTAGTTGATTCGGTAAAGCCTATTAAATTAATGGTGGTTGGAAGCCTAGGGAATATATTTCATTCATCAATGGAATGTTTGAGATCGAGGGTGCGCTCCCTGGAATATCATCATGGCCTGGCGGTGGAGAATGCATTTCCAAGTACCAAGGTCCGGGTGGTTTTCACTCCACCTAACCGATAATGATTCGTGGGAGTGTAGGCCCGCGATTCCCTTGGATTCTGTTTATATGTCTCATTCACTCCGGTTGGTACCTGTTGATCTCTCCCTGACTCACAACATGGACGTCACTAGGCTAAAACAGGCACACCTGGAAAGGATTCATGTGCTCAATCTCCATGCAGCGGCTTCCTCACAAGTTTGCCATGCCAAATGTTCGATATGTTCGATGCACAAGGGCCAAGGTGATGTCAGTTTCATCTTCGAGACCGTCTCTGGCAGTTTTGCATGGTAGTTTACCAAGGATAAAGAAACATGCCTAAGAATCCGGGCCCTCGAATACATAGGGTTTGGTTCGGGTCCGGACCCCTGCTGTGGAGGGTCCCACCCCTGTGGAGGGCCCGAACTCGGATTCTTAGGGATGAACATGTCGACGTTCGTTTTGCGGAGTGCGCAGGGTAGCTCAAAGCCAAGCCCGCAAGGCCAGGGGCCAAAATGACCAAGCGACTCCAAAGGCAGAAACTAGACCCAAACGCTCCATGGGACTACAGTCCTACAGCCTACATGACAATGACTGGTGGGTTGGGCTGGTGAATGTTACATATTGGCTCCACCATGGAGCGTTTGGGACACTTGTACCTGTCTTCGACATAGTTCGCTGGTTGGGTTCTGGACCGGGTGGTTTGTCGCATTGTTTAGTTTGCCAAGTCTCTCTTGCCCATGGGCATCCACGCAATAGCCATCGCCCACATCCTTCCACCCCAAGGGCACCGCTACTCCAGCCGGAGTAGCTGCTGCCTGCCACGTGCATTGGCCGGGCCTGGGGCCCATCGGGGTGTTCTAGGTGGCCCGGCATCTGAACGGCAAAATGTCCTCTTGCAACAAATCCCAGTGGATTTGAAGTAACCACTATATAAGGAGCCAGGGGTTCTAGGTCTATGGTGTTAGTCTTTGGAACCACTGGATGCCAGCTATGCAGTGGTAACTGGCCAAGGTCATAATCATCATAATCAAATACAGTAAGAGTAAGAGCTACAAAGTGATGCGACGAACCTAAAATAAACATCCATGGACCATGGACGAAACATTCGTCTTCAAACGGTCCACTTTACCTTACTGTTGGCTGTTGATGAATAGAGCCCATATATGGAGATGCACAACCATTTTGTTAGCGGGACTTGTTAATCAACAGTCTACCATCATACCTGGATATTCCAACTATGCCAGTTTCTTGTGCCTAAACTGGTTGGTTTTACAAATGAAAAGGCATAAACTTTGCAGAGTCGGGCGATCGAGGTGGAGGTCAAACCACCATGGAGCGAGCGTCAAGCGTCAAACGACCGCCGCCTTTGCCGCATCACCTCTCAGCGCTGGCCGGGGCGCAGGTACAGGAGTCGGCCTGGGCGCAGGTACAGCATCGTTTCCGTGCTTCCACGCGAGGAACAGCAAACAATGATAAGAAAAGCGAACGAGTCTGAGTCTAACTAGGGGGTACTGAAGTGCTACAAGTTTGGAGCCTTGTTGCTGATCCCAAGACTAATCACATCAGCTGTCCATGTCGCCTCTCCAATGGCTGGACCTCCCTCAAGGTGGGCTGCGTCCTGAGCTTCCCCAAAAGCCATTGCTCCATCTCGTTCCTCGGATTTGCAGGTTTCTCGCTGGTGCTGGTCGCGATGCTTCGCAAGCACTTGGAACACTTCTATGAAAACTATATTATTTAAGTAGCACTCTTCACCTGTTCTGCTCCGTCTATTCTGGTGAGATCAAATCACCTTTTTGCTTCAACACCCTGAAAAATCCCCTCTGATCAACAAAAGCGACCAAACCGCAGGCCCTGTCGGACGGGGCTCGGCTTGGGCAGCGTCTTGAAGATGGAGGGCCACAGAAGCACCGCCAAGATCTGCGAGTGTCGGTGGGTGGAGTTCGCCAGGTGAGGTGACAGGTTGTCTAACCCCCCTGTAAAATAGGTGAAACAAACCCTTTTAACACTACTGTCACTAATATGGCTCTTATGGCCTTATTGTCTTTGTTCTTTATCGTTTTGCATCGTTTTACCGTGCTTTGACGAGCTGCAACATTTAAGCACATGTGTGTGCGCAATGCATGGAGTTGTGCCATGTGGAATTGGCAAACGTGATGCCATTGGCGCAATTCATTCCAAACCAGCACATTTAGCACACCATTGTGTATGAGTGGATGAGAAGCTGCTTTATCGTTTTTGCTTCGCTATTGTTTTCGTGCTTGGTACAAGCATCAATTTCTATGAACAAAAATACCACAACACAACACTCCTCGCTATCTTTGTGAAATAACGTGAAGGGTGGTTGTTTATGTGGACGGCTATCGATGTAGCATCCTTCTGGCATCTTGTGGCAAAACAGGCCTGCGAAAACGAAATTGGTTTGATACTCTCTCAGTTGGCTGAAGAATGTGGGGGCTGGGCAATGCTGGGCATCCAAAATTTGTTTGTGGCCAGCTTTGTTGAACATGATAAAAACGAACAACAACAAAAATATGTTTTCATGGAACATCCCAAATCCGAAAGGTAGGTGATGGGAGCTTTTCTTGTTGCATGCCTTCCTTTCGCCCACATGATGCTCTGATACGCTTTGAGGTTGTCCAAGAGCCCTTTTTGGACCTTCAGCTGAGCGTAATATGCTGACCCTCGTGTCGCGGACAAAAAGAAACGACCACACTAACTAGAATCAACCAACCACCTGTCACAAACATTCCAGTCCACATCATGGACGTAGCCCAGCTGCAGGAAGCCAAGCTACACAGAGCTCGGCTCATCTTTGTTCCTTTTCCCGACTTCCGAGCCATTTCCCTGGAAAATACAGGTTCACCGCCTTGTTCATCCTTGTTCCACCTGGATTCGAGATGAGTTGAGTGGGGAAAAGCCAGGGTTCACGCTTGCAAAGAAGCTTATATCATCCACATTTTTGCTGGGTAGGTTCCTGACCATCACCAAGGATCAATCTCAATTCCACCACTGGTGATGCACCCCAAACACACAGAGATGGCCCTCCACAGAGCTCCACGGACATGCTCCAAGAAGCCAAGGCGATGAGCTGTGCCAAGAGCAGAATCAAGGGAAAATTGTGAGGACATTGACAGGTTTCGTCCAACCTCATCAAGGTCAAACTCCTTCATCCGATGTGTCTTCGTCGCGTCGTGAGATGAGACAAAGGGGCCGGATGTGAGTTTTTCGGGGCCGGATGTGCCTTTGCCTTGGGGTCGGAGGTCCTTTTCTTGGGGTCTGGGTTGGGGTCCGTGAGCAAGCTTCAGATCTAAGAATATTGACTATAGACTATAGATGTGGACTTTGTTGAAGAACCACGGGTTGCAAAAGCAGGGAAGCCTGGACAAGAAAACAACCGCATTTGGAACACCTGTCACCTGTCCGCAAAGTTGTTATGCAGTCGCGTTTGGGATGCAAAACGTAAAGAAGACTGTTACCTCGGATGGGATTGGCACGTCTCGAGATCAACTTGAATCATGTAGTGAACTGCACAGCATGGAGATGGAATACACGGCGTTCGCATTGTGCAGTGGCATGGGAATACAGGTGGAACTAAAGAACGAGGACATGTGAGGCACGGATGGCGTCCAACCTCCCTCCCAGGGAACACGCAGCCCAGGGAACACGCAGCCCAGCAAGGAGAACACGGCGATGGCGACTAAGAGCCCGATGGTGGCCATGAGGTGTTCCTCGATGAAGGCAGAAAACGAAGAACCACCGTCAACTGGTTGCTGGATTCAACTCACTTGAACACATATGAGCCTGGAACCCCAAACAACCAGAAATTAATGGATGTTTCCACAAACAGCCACTTGCTATGTAAAGGACCTTGATTGCCATATTGTAGCATCCAATTGTTTCTGGTTGGGACTGAGGTTCCAGTTTCGACGTTCCTCGGAACCGAGTTTAAGTTCCGAAATCCGTGCCTTTCCTGGCGCTCGGTTCTTTCAGGGCTGCTTCTAAGACTTCCACTGCCCGGGAGTGGCTATAGATTGACAATATACACATATATACACCATACCAACATTATGGGAGTGGTATGGAGTAAACCACGGGGTTTCCTGGGAGTGGGCCCAAACGAAGCTCTCCACGTCGACGAAACGCGTGAAAATAGACTCCCCGGCCAGGGGTCATCGGTGGACTGCGAAAGCTCCGAGACGGCAAAGAAGAGCAGCAGGGGCGCCATGACCACGGCGATCATGGGGCCAATCCTTAACTTGGTTTCGGTTCGTTTGCTTTTTGGCCGTGTTTGAAGCCGCTTTGATTTCACCCCATGGATCAGCCCAAGTGGCGGCATATACGGTATATGGCTCAAAACAGCTAGCAGGCACACGGGTTCGTGAAGTGAAAAGTTGTCTGGTGGGAGCTTTAAGTAGTCAACAACAAGTACACAGCCATGATTCCAAACACTTCATTCATTGGAATACATGCCTACATATAATTACCAAGAGAACCACCCAAATATAGATGTTATGCCAGTCCCGTGGAGATCCGTCTATGACACTATGTGAGTGTCTTGGAATTGTACATGTTGCATGGATCAACCAGTTGGAGGCTGCCTCAACCGAGGGACTCAAATATAGGACACCCGCTGCATCTCAATGCAACATACAATGCAACGTAATTATTACAATTCATATCTCAAGATTCACATCCCTCTACCGGGTCCCAGTGTTCAAAAAAGCCGCCCCAAGGACCTCCAAAAGCTATCAAAACCTGAGCTGGACATTGGGTGAAGGATGGTGAAGGCTTCCGCTCATCGATGATCATGCCTTCACCATCCTTCGCCTGGTTGACCCTCCCCGCAAACCCGAAGACCCAGCTCCAAACCGCCGGGTCAACTCGCCTCTCCACCTTCGTTCCGAGTTACGCCCAGAACGCCCCCCCCCCCCCGGTGCACTGGGAACCTTCCGTGTCGCGCACACGACCGCGAGAAGCAGCGGCACGACGCGAGAAGCAGCGGCGAGACCGACACAACCACTGTTCCGTTGCGTTTTCGCCACCCGAGGCTCCAGAACATCCATCCCGACTTCTTGGGCCGTTGCTTCTTGGGCATCGCCGGTGCGCGGTGCGCGCGTCCCCCGTCCCGCACCGGACGCAAACCGGACGGTGCAAAAGCGGGGTGTCCGGATGGTACGGTGACTGGACTCCAAATGGACGGTTGGGGGGCGCCCGAGTTCGGTGGTGTCCGACCCAAACAAGAAGAACCCAAAACACGGAGAGGCCAAATGGGGTCTGCTGATGTCTGGGACTGTCTGGGACTGTGAGGGGACTCCAAGGACAATCGTAAAACAAGGTGCACTTAAGTGACTCTTGAGTGGAAACCCTTGATGTGGCTGCTGCTGCTGCTGCTGGCGTTTTGTTTGTGATTGACTTTGGCTTTGTTGTGACCGTTGCCCACTGGCTTGAGACATTCAACCTGACCTGTGGCTCGATTTTGAAGTAAAGAGGCAAACTCTTGAGCGCTCTTCTGCCTGATTCATCTACTATTACTATATGCAGTAAGCCAGCTGAGCGGGCGAAGTGCAAATCAACAGGATGCAAATGATCTTGATATGCGTGCTCTATGCTGAGCATATGTCATGTCCAGCTGAATAAATTTGTTTTGTAGACGACCTCAATGTCATCATACTGGTCAACTTAGCCTCATGCTGGCCTTGAATGGCCTTGACTTTACTGTGGCAAAGAAGTCCCCTTTCATTCCTTTTTGTCTTGGAGATGGCCATCTGGCATTGTTGATATTGGTGCTTTACGTCTTGTGGGCTCCGGAAAACGGCCCAATGGCACGGTCCATGGAAGTGACTTCCGGGGTTGGACACCTCATTTTCTGCACTGTTTGCTTGAGATAACATGCGGTCAGCCTGACTGAGTGGACCTTCAAAGATAGCTTGTGCGGCTGTTGCCTCGTTCCCCTCCCATCCTGTCCCATTCCAATCCATTCTCACTCTTTTTGAAAGTTCTTCATTTGCCGAATCTCCGCAATTCTCTTGCGACGTCCTGTGATTTTTCGCATTTTTTCGTCCAGGTGCTGAACGGCCTGTTCCAGCTAATTATGTAACATGGTCCTAAACCTGGTAGCAAGCACCAGTCAGCCAACATGAACTGGGTGAGTGATCCTCTATATAATTGGGGCCAACATAGGGACTTTCGAGGGGCCTTGAGTTCGCAAAGAGCGTCACTCACTCCTTTGTCTGCTTTCAGTGCTGGAACGGGGCCCTTGAGCCAGTCGTGCCGGACATGCGTTCTCTTGGTGAACACCGAAACTCTGATCGCCGCATCGTGGCCAGGCGAAGTGTGGCCGATGCATCCCCAACAAACGAGTGTCTCTCTGGGGGGAACGGTATAGATATGATCCAAACAGCACCCAAACACTCCATATCTGTGGAATATATGCCTAGTAATAGTATGCAACTCCATACATGGAGTGCTTGGGGCATGGGACTGGCTAACCTTCACCGATCTGTTCCATCTCGGCATGTCACCTCCGCCGGAGGTAGCGCGGGCGCCCGAAACGAAACGGTGCGGCGCCCGGGCGGATGGAACACCAATGAGACTCAGCAGCCTTGGCCCATCACTTGGAAAGCAACAACAAGCAAACTGGAATAGGATAAACATGGATAAACCATGGGCGTTCGAAGGAACTCCGAAAGGACTACCGTCCATAAACAGTCAGAAAGACCGAACCCGTTGGATCGCATGCAAAACCATGTGTCCTTTGAGGCATTTCCTCACATTTCTATTGGGTCCTTCCATCTTCAGGTCGGCACCACCGTTCTCTCCGCGCGTTGTTGAGCGGACGGACGCTCGGCGGGCCGTGAAACCGGCAGGCAGGTTTCAGGCTCAGCCTGTGGCCGGGACGGGATTGCAGGAAGGCATCAAATCCAGGGTGAGAAGTGGGATGGCATGAAGACCGCACGCCACAGAATAAGAAGAAGAAAAAGAAGAAGAAGAAGAAGAAGTTTATAAACAATGAAGACACAAAGGTACTGATACCGACCCAACATGCTTCCGGCCATTGCGGGGAGGTCAAGAAGTCCCTTCATACCCACCTATTATGTTCTGTGATGGACGTCTGTTCAGATCCTCACACCGCCCGGCCTCGGCCGCGGTATTCCATGGACGCTGGCACGTGCCAATACAGAACCTCGGCCATCCCACCATGACCGGGTGGGGGGTGAAGTGGGGTTGGAGCGTGGGCAGGAACGTGTGAAGGCGAGCGAGTTGTGACGTTGGAGTTCGTGAGTTCGTGAGGGCAGTGGGGTTTTCAGGGCACTCCACATTCGAAAATGGCCCTTGTAGCCCTGCAAAGATCATGCAAACAAATTCTGGTTTCTAGTCGCTTCTTGTTACTAGTAGTTTCTTCATGTTTCTTTCAGGTTCTCAGTCAAGTCCCCAGCACTCGTTCCAAGTATATAAACCATGATCGCCAATCACGACCGACCTTTGCACACCTCCCGAGGTTGAAGCCACCTTGCGGGCTTCCCGCCCGCAAGGTGGTCGCTTTGGGCCACCAAGTGGGAGAAGATGGACCAAAAAATGATTCAACAACCCCTCACATGTGGATGGTAAAATGCTATAGGGTGTAGATGTGATATATAGAATCTCGAGTTCCAAACCCAAAAGCTACGATGTTCTGTGGCTCCACTTCCACTCAAGGGGTCTAGTGTTTTCGTCAGTGACTCACCATTGAACTCACAGTTGTCGCAAATCTTTCCATGCATTCCTCAAGGCCCTCCTGGAACCCCAAGCAACCCGAAACAAATGGACCTTGCAATATATGTCAATTCATACAAGTAGCAAGTGGTTGGGACTGTGGTAACATACATCTATTTCCGCTTGCTTGGGACCCCACTCCCGGTCCCCCAAAACCGCTCCGGCCACGCTCCAGTCCGCTTCGGTCCAGCCCAGGCCGTCCGGACACCCACGAAGGCATACATGCAACAAAGGATGTATCCCTTGAACCTCGGAGAGACAGGCTGAGACAGGCTCACATGAGGTTGGAGGAGACAGTTGCGAAGGTGCAGCGAAACCTTTGGCCAAATTTTGGATGGTGAAGGTTACTTTGCCCAGAAATCGATGGCAAAAAGGACGCGAAATCGACAGAAACCATAGATTCCACAGAGGGCATCCTTGGGATCTTCCATTTGGATGCAAGAAATTCAAGGCATGCAGCATGCATCTACTCTGCAAAGAAGAGGGGGACTCCCGCATCTACTCCGCTCCACTGCGATCGATGTGTGACACAACCGCCAGCGTGTTCGACGGATCCCCAACGACCGTTGCGACGTCCGGATCCCTTTGGGTGACACTCCGATGAGCACATCACATGGCAGTGGAGCCAGCGAGCGAGCTAACCCCCAATCACAAAGGAAAGGCCATCCACGTAACCATGTGATGTGTTCGTCAGAGCTGTGATGTGTTCAGCCGGAGATAGACGAGAAACTCTTTCCCAGAAATCGGCATTCACTCATAGGGAAAAACTCACCGAAGCCAAAGCCAAGAATTTTTCAAGGGTCCTGCCTATAGTTGCTTAAATTGATGCACCAGGCAGTCCTCGGTGCCAAGTCAAATATGCTGGGGCAAGCACTGCCTCCCTCCGAAGAAAAAAACATGGTTGCACGACGAATAATAATAATATCATCTTATATACGGCCTATAAACACCAACAACACAATCGCCAATGGCAGCACCACTAAACATCACCAACAGGATCACTTAGTAAAAGATCATTCTTTCTCAAGCATTCTCTTCACCCACCCATTCTCCCCACCCGTCTTCTCGATCACCCGACCAGTTGGACCGTCCATCCAAGAGGAGCGTGAGCACCACCAGGTTGCAGAAGGTCACGACCTCATGTGGCGCCGCGTGCCACGTCCAACGTGCGCGGACGTCTTTAAGACGTGCCAACCCCCTTGAGGAGGAAAAGGGTAAACGGATTCCAATTTCCAACATCATCCATGATCGGCGTCCGTCCTCTTTTTGAAAGTGGGAGGCTATCCGCAGCCACGTGGCGTCGGACCATGGCCACGTGGCGTCAGACCAAACCCACTCGAGGTATGACATCGACTTTTTCAACTGATCAGCATACCCAAACACTCCATGTATGGAATATATGCCGATCAGGCCAGGGGTGGTGCCAGGGGGGTCAATGGGGCGGCATATATGGCAGTCCTATGGAGTGCCTGGGGTATGTCAGTCCCAAACAGGTCGTGGAAAAAGGCTTTGAGCATCCCTCATGGATTTTGGTCCTCCAGTTATTGCAGCCGCACACCTGGCTGGTGCTCGCGATATTTAAAAGAGAGAAAAACAACAAAACACATATTAGGATGTTTTAGGTCAAGGCGCTGCGGTATTCAAGGCACCAAAGTCCAAATCCAAGGGCTTCTCCTCGCGAAAGGCAAATTCGTGCGAGGAGAATGATGGGAGGGTGACGGAATGTCGATCATACCGGTTGAGGAGCCCCAACATCCGGAGAAAAGCCTTAGCGTAATTCTGTTGATTTCCGACATATGAATGGAGATGATGGAGCAGTCAATATTATGATCTCCATCAAATACCACCGGTATTTGCGTGAAAGTTCACCTGACGTTCACAAGCTGATATCGTATCCAAACACTCGGATCACGTCATGGCCCACCGGTGCAGTTCCAACACGCTGTCCACCCTTATGCCAAGGATCCTTCTGCCCCAAACGACTCGACCATCCCAAAAGTGCGCATGGATTTTTGGCACCTCACTCCTACCTGAATCCCAATCCAAGTTGACATTTCAACGTGAGTTGAGAATACTGTTTGTTTAATTGAATTTGAATGGAGATCTTCGCTGCTGAACGGATGTCTTCCGTATACCTAAACGGATCATTGATATTGTTTACGCTAGTTGACTCTCCAACAGTGATGTGTTATTTTGTTGGATTCTAATGGAGTAGCAATGATTTCATATGATTTCTGAACGGAAACAAATCGTTGAAAGATGTTGAAAGCAAGACATGTTCCTCTCGAAAAGACAACAGTATACGTATATATAGTCGTATATATAGGTATTTCAAACTTACGAACAGTCTCAGGTAGTACTCAGGTGTATCATCGTGCGTGGGTGTGTGTGTGTGTGTGTGCTGCTGTGTGTCAGTGGTCAGTGTGAGTGAAAGTGTGCCTTTTTTGAGCACCGGCACTTGAAACACCACCACCCACCTCCCACTGCGGTACCGCAGCAGTATGATCAGTATGCAGCAGTGCTGGAAGGTTCCCCATACCCGGCTTCACCCGCCTTAACCCTCAGCGATACCATGAATACCCCACTGAAACCACAAAGTCTTCACTAAACAGTGCCACGATCATTCCACAGAGCTGGTGTAGACTGACCGGAAGGTGCTGGATTCATCCTGGTAGTGTAGACCTGAAAAATCATCCAGGTGACAGGGCACTGATTGGCCTGGGTAGATCCTGGTAGGCTGTGTTTCAGGTTGGAGTTCCGCCCAACTTCTGTATCCAATGCAAAGCATGAAAGGCGCCAAGCGTGTTCGTCGAGTTTTCCTTGTTCTCAGATTCTCAGCTTCCGTTTCTCCACGACCGCCCTGGCTTCCATACCCCGTCCGCGAACCATGCAACAATCACGGAGAAGGGAACCACCTGCACATCGAGCCAGGATGAACCAGGAGTGGCGATGCTGTTGATCCACAACTTCTGGAGCGACCTTCAAGCTACTTCGGATGAAGGGACTTGACTTTGGTCGATGTCGGATCCCTATTGGCCAATCGAAAAGGCATATCCAGCACTGAGGATACTGGTCCCTTCCTAGCTGGGGTCGGGGAAGTTCCATGGTTGCTCCGAGTTCCGGCTGTTTTTCATGGGGAAGAACTGGATGATCACCCGAGACGCGCACGGGTCGCGCTCCCGTTTTCTTCGGAAGAAGCAGCTGAAAAAGACCGATCGAAGGTCCTCGCACGTCCTGGATTCGTTCGGTGAGACAAACTCGGCGGTTGAGATCTGGCGGTTGAAACGATGCGATTTGCTGTCCAGGAACTGGGAACAAATAAAAACAAATGTCCGGAAGATATTTTTTCCCATATATTATGATGGGAAACAATAGGAGAAAACAAAAGCAACTGCCAGGAGTCACATGTCGGGGTGCCGAACTTGGAGGAAGTCAGGGTGCCCCTGTCACATCTACTCACTGGATGGGACTGACAACCAAGACCACCCGGAGCTCGGCTCCACTCCTGGTGTAAGCACAAAGACGTCACCGTAGACCCGTCTTACTTCGTTTGGTCGAGTTCCTGGTGCCCCCACGGACGGTCCAATCGATCTCATCTGCTCCGTTTGGTTCGGGTTTGGAGGGCTCCATGCTTCGGGTGAGAGAGGATGACGCCCCACGGACTCTCCCATCAAAAGGAACCACCTTTTCCCTTGAGAAGCAAACAAGAACGTCTATAAAAAGGACGATCACTACGAAGGGATGCCTCGGCTAATGCCATGCTTTCTCCCCACGAATGCCGTCCCCGCCAGCAAGGAGATCTGAGTGGCAGAACCCACCTGGGAGCGTCGCACACGTCGGGTCCCAGGCGCCATAGACTGGGCCCAGTGGAGGATGATCTTTAGGTTGCAGGTCCGTCTCTAAAATAGTGATTTGCTTGTTTACTGACTGATGACAGGTAATAGGACAAACCCAAAGGTTAGTATAGTCACTAGAATCCAAATTGTTCGAGGTCACCTCTCACGAAAGGACCAGTCATGATTGCTTCTAATATTTGGTCGCACCCCTTCTTGAGGCCGAGGAGTGCCGTTCTCCTCTGCTCAGCAACTTCTTAGGTGACTCTGTTGGTGGGGCTGCAGTTGTCCAAGTGGTGCAGGTCCAAGTAGCGAGGTTTTCACCATTTGGTCCACTTCGTTTCACCCCCCTCCGCATCCGTGACTCGCGCAACCGAGGGTTTGCGCGAGCACCGATGACATCAAGATCAAGGACGGGGGTCGGTCAGGACCGTAGGACGGGCCGTCCTTCATGGACTTGCGTCATTGACCTGAGACCGGCGAAGCGGCCCACCGCGCGTTTGGCCTCGTTGACCAGATCGTATCACAAAGGATACTCTCAGCACTTACAATACCTGGATTTAATTGAGTCATCTCCAAAAGATCTATCACCGAGGCTATGAACAGAATAGACGACCTGGGGTCGGTGAAATCGGGACGCATAGGGATGAAACGGGCTCCAGGTGCCATGGGAGTCAGCGTGTGACCGGCAAGAAGTCGTCGACATCACACGAGTTCACAGCAAAGGCAAGGCGTACGGGGTACATCAAGGCACCATCAAAGAGCCTTGTCATAAAGGTGCTGACCAGGGACCAAGAACAAGTCGACGATACTTGACGCAACGAAGTCATGCAAGAAAACGCCAGAACACTGTCCAGCACTTCTATTCTCGAGGGCCAATAGATCGAGGCCAAATCGACTCTCGAAAAACCATCTCGACTGCGGTTGGAGTCGATGAATGCCGACGGAATGTGCGATGGCCATCAGCCGACGAGGTTTTAGGCAAATTCATGCAGCCATTGCAGTCTGAGCGCCATCTGCGCGATGCTGGCCACGAAATTGGCTCGGTGGCTCTGTCTTCAATGAAGGTCTTCTTACAGGCTGCGCACAAAATTCTGCATGTCCATGCTTACAAAAAGAATCAAAAAGATCAAGGTGGTCGTGCAATGCCAGCTTACGGTTCTGCCAAACCCCGAGCAAAGCTAGGACACCATAGGACACTTTGATGGGACTGGAATTGAATTGTTGCCTATTTTTGCCTATACACAGACCCCTGATTTTCTCAACCACCCCTGGCCTGATCTAAACACAATGGCAGTCCCAAACAGCTCGTGTTGGGGTGGCAGCTGACGCATCGTCTTCCCCGCCCCACAGAAGGGCAGAGTCAGCTTCGTGCGCACGAGCTCCACTGGACTACCACCTACAGGTTCAGTCCGACCAGTCGGTCAAGTCTACGAAGAAAACCTCGTCCAGTTCGGTCGTGTTCTCGTCCTGATCACCTTCAGCACCATAAAATCAAACTGACCTGTAGGGCCAAACTGACCTTCATGCATCGAGATGCATCGAGAAAAAACACCTGACACTGACATTCCTTTTGACCTCCTTAGTCTGGATTAGGGTCGGACCGGGATTGAAACATTCCTCCAAGGCCCATTCCGAAATCCAAGGTCCCATGTCATCCACTTGCCCAAGCAACTGCGATGCCGATGGCCAAGCCAGGACGGTCCTGTTGGGGAGTCTGTTTCAGAAGTCCCTTGTGTGGATGGAGCCTTCAGTATACGCTTCCATGGAGATGAATGGATGGAGCCTTCTGAAATGTCCATATCCATGACGTTGGTGGCTAAGCTTCCACAACCATGTGATTATATAAAGGCCGAACCTAACCTATGCCGATTAAGGCTCCTTTGCCGCAGCTGAATCGTTGGAGCCAGTCGCCTGATTTCTTGGCTGGAGGGCGAATTCGCCACGTTTGGGTGGACCCCGCCAAAAAGACCGAATACCAGGGGCCCGAACCAAACCATGAAAAAAGCAGGTTTCTCACATACAAAAACCATGTTTTTTGCAAGGGAACACCAGGTTTTTGATGGGCCATGTGGGGCCGGGGTAGGTCGTACCTCCACTTCACCGCAGCGATGCGACCCTCCCGCATCGGCACCAACGACGGCGGCATCCGCGTTCGGTGCAGAACCCGTGGTGGGTGGCAAACCCTGGGATAAACACTGGGATAGTCTATAACTATGTGCAGCAGCATTTGTTTGGTACTAAACTCAAATATGTGGGGGCCCTATCTCGTTCACAAGCGAATATTGATCATAGACAAGCAAACAAAGCATGCTGGTCTACTTTACTAAAGCCAAAGTTGTTGCTCATTGAGTTCTTCAGCCTTTGTTGGATCATTGGCTTTCACCGCGCCGCCAGTTCCACGGGGTCCTGCATGGCGAAGCGGATGGCACTGGCCTCAGGGCGCTGGAAACCGACTCCGAACGCATTTCTCACGCCAAGGACGGTCCAGGAAAAGCGTGGAAAGATCACCCTGACGTTCCTCAGATTCCCTGGAAAATGATGAAGGTTATACTATGTTATACTATATGGTCGACCTTTTCTCTACCTGTTTGCCCCTCGTTTGCCTCTTTCCCCTTGATCTGGCAGTTCCCAAAACACACTCTAGGTCACAACAAAACAAAACGTTCCAAAAGCTAACGTGGGAAGGCCAAGCATGTCTAGTCCCAGTGGGGAAGCCAATGCCCCAAAAAGGTTAAAGATCAGATTATCCACTTGTAATCTTTCTATGCAGAAACACCTAAACTGCATTCGCCGCAGAACGGGCGCCGGGGTTCTGGCGTCGTAAACGAAGTCCCAAGTCCAAAGACCCAAGCCCAGAAGCATAGGAGGCCGCCTTGAAGATCTTGGAACTACGTCCAGCTTTTACATACCCTGCTGCCCATGGTTACGTGGACAATCCCCTATGTTGTAGGACACTTGGTCTTCCAAAAACAGACGTTCCACGTAACCACGATTGTTTCAGGGAGGCCTAGGGTTCCTTTTCGGCCTTGAACCTGAATTACAACGTTTACAATGGTTGCTAGAATTTGAGACCCAAACCTGGAGGTTTTCAACCCAGTGCTTCCGCCCCTCTCACCAACCAGGCACGGTTTTTCGAAAAAACGACATCGGTTCCAACGTCTTTCACGTTCAAACAGCTCCTTCCTGAACAACAGCGGCAGCTCCTTCGAGGGAACTCCTTCCAGCAAACCGGTCGCTCCACGAAACCGGCTTTTCGTTTGGGAAGGACCTGGCGTCGTCCCTCCGACGTGACCCGGGTCGTTGCCGGAAGCGCGACGTGGCGACCCATCCACCGTCGATCGACCGCAGTGGTTAGACGTGGGATCCCAACAGCGGCCCGTTGGGACAACCGCCGAACATAACGGTCCAATTTTTAGGCAAGCCGAATACAAACTTGACGATGCACTCGGACGAACACATCACATGGTTATTGTGTGGATGGGAATATATGGCCCGAAAGGAAAACAATTTTCCTTTCCGAAGTGATGGGGGTGGCATCCACTTCCATGTGATGTGTTCGTCCGGAGTGTATGATTTATCAACTTGAGAGAACTCGAAACTATACCATCTCCTTATGGCTGGGCCTCTCCGACTGCTCGGCCTCCATGAACGCTAAACCCGTCTCCCAGGCGCGTGTTCGCAGGCGTTTCCCGCGATGGGCAGCAGTATCACGCCAATGAAGCCTCGATGGGAATTTCGACGGTGATGCGGAAAACCGCATCAAGGCGGAGGCACCAGCCAGTCCGGGTGCTTTTGCGTCGCACCGCTGACATCCGATTAATTTCTTGTCCGATGATGCACTCACAGAAGTGGAAACTGGTCTGTTGGATGTCCTCTACAAAAAGGGATTGTCCACTTGCATGTCTGAGGGAGGGTAAAATAAAGGGAAGCTTCCGGGAAGCCATGTTGGTGAGAGATCGTCACCCAAGAAACCTGCAGTTGGTCCTGGAGATCCTGCGTTTCATTTGAGGATTTCAAGACTCTCTTCTTTGCTCCTAGTAGTAAGGCCAGGAGCCCCTAGTAGCGTGTTTAGAACCAGATTTTCTGTTTTGCGGTGAGCCTCGGCCAGATTGCTTCAACTCACATAATCGGAGTGAACTCTCCGCTGGAGAGTGACGGTCTGTGGATCAGCTTCTCAATTCAAATCCAATTGCGCGGAGTGCTTGGGAAGAGCTTTGATGATGATTATTAGTGGATTGAGACATGTGCTAGGAAGTTGGCTGGGAAAAATACGGCAAGAGAACCTGTAACAAAGCAATTACCCGCCAAGATAGTATTGTTAAGTATCAACAAGAACCTCGCAGGGGCATGCTTCCCTTGAAAGAGAGAAACCACTTCCATGATTCAGGAGTTCAGGCGTCCCATTTCCATGTCATGCGCCGCGTGCTTGTCGTGTTTGTCTTCCCTCCCCCGGTCCGCGAGCTTGTCTGTTTCTCTCCTAGCTGCTCTCGGGAAGACCATAGTCCCGGACGACCTGAGGAAGGACCCCGGGGAAGAAAGCTGTACGTGCAAAAAAACACCGGGAAAATCCGCCCGCACCAAAGATGCTGAGGCGTTAAACTCTAACCAGTGCATGCAATGCTAGGCTAGGCTGTATAGCTTGCTTTAGCTTAGGGGACTCTCAAAGACTCCATGGTGGCGCCAACATGGCCTACCCAAAACCACCAGTCATGTAGGCTGTAGGCCATAGGACTGCAGTCCACTGGAGCGTCTGGGATGCATTTGAATCTCTGCCGTTCAGGAAGGTGCACTTTCTGATGTCAATATGATATAGTTCAATAACAAAGTGGCACAATTGACTTGATATTTTGATTCCCTTCCAAGAAGCTTCCCACCTCACCTGGTAGTTATCAAAGAAATCAAACACATCCAAACTTCATCCAAACTTCTTGAATATGCAACTTCTCTTTTTCCTCATCAACATTCAAATGATTTCACCGCCAACAGCAACCCTGCAGACCAGCTTGTGTCGCCTTATAAGTAGCACAGTCTTCGACTGCTGGGCTCCATTACATCGACTGGTGGGTGCGCCCACTTCGCCCCAGCCGCCCAGCGGGACGACTTCAGCGAACCGCCGTGGAACCGGAGAACCGACCGACGGGTGATGCGGTTCGCAGCGTCGACTCAGCTCCGCCTGGGCGATGGTATCCACCAGGTATTCCGAGTTGATGGCCTCGAAACCACCCGAAACCGGCCCCCCCGCGGTGGGGACCGGCGGGCGGACGAGGAGGCTGCGAAGCGGAGGCTTCGGACACCGAAGGCTGTGCCTTCGGGTGAAGCAAGCCCGGGATCACAGTGGAAGAAGTGGAAAGAACGGGAAGGAATTGACTTCCCCTATGGAATCCACGTACCTTCTTAGAAGATGCGACTGACTGGACCCTCCATGTCTATGCAAAAGTGTCTCCAATCACCTTCTTTGAGGGTATGTGGTTCCATAGACTTCCTGGTCTTGTGCGAAAGTGGATGCCCACCCGCAAACTAACATGGAAACCGAGAACTGACCGGTGGTTTCGACCATTTTCCTCTACAACTCAAGTACTTTTCGCGTTCCATTTGGTCCTCTGCAGGGGGGATCTTTCGGGGCCCAGGCGGTGAGCTGTCCACTTCTCCCAATCCACCTGCGGCGCGGCAAAAACGCGCCACGCGTGAGAGTGTGCGCCGCATCCAACGCGTGGCGCTGAGCCATGGCACCACGGCTAAAGTGCAAAGGCCCATCAAGAGAGTGGCCTCGAATGCCACATGGCCCGCGGATCGGCGGAACCACGAACATGGTGAGGCTGTCAGTGGGGGCTGCCAGTCCAACTAGTGGTCGATCTTGGCCAGGAATTGGACCCAACGAATCCGGGCCACCGTCCGGACCGAAGGGTTCAACTCCTGGACCATGGAGGGTTGAAGGATTCTTAGGGAAGCCAAAAACATGGTCTCCATACAGGCCCTGTTCATTTCCAGCATTTTATCCTAATTGAAGTGGTGGACCATGACTACCAGGGCTATCCTGCTCTCAAAGCAAAACCCTCCCCAAGTTTCTTTTGATCTATATAATCTATATATCCGAAGCTGCATTGAGCCTGTCGCACTTCCATTGAGTGTCTTCACCAGCATTTTCCGATGACACCCCACGCATCCTACCAGAAAAGGCCAGTGGTAAGACACTGTGCTTCAGACTGTGCATGTGAGCAACCACTCAAATTCACAATCTTTTGAAGAAAAACACTCAATCGTGGAACCACGTAACATCCTTGGCGGCGTGTGGATTTCTTCCTTTTTGGCTTTCATGGCTTTCACTGGCTGAATTCAAAGCTAAAACTGCACTCACTGCAAAAACCATACACATCCACACACACATATTCACCTTGAGGAAGTTCTATGTCTTTACAGTGAACTTTTGTTGACTGTTGCGTAAAAAGAAGCCGATAACAACTCTCTCACCCCAACAAAGGCTCATTGACCAACAGGTGCCGTCCTTGAGCCAAGTGTTTCATGCTGCGCTGACCTAATCCAAGTTGCACAACCCGCCGTGAGCCCGGGGCCAACGTCATCCTCGCATGAGGTGCGGCGCCAGGCGGTCAGGCAGTGGATTGCTTGACCTGAGAAATGATGGTCTTCGTCATGCCTGAAATGAGAGCTGAGTTCCACCTGTACACGTGCCCTCCCTGCGCAAACATTACTCATGGATGCCTGGGAAAGAAACAACACATCAAACAGGAGCAGTTTGGGGATTTGAAGTCCATGTGATGGTTCAAGCATCCTTCAAACGCAGTGCTTGGATCTCAATTACATATAATGATGGTTGCATTCTTCTAAGCACACAACATCACACAACCTGGACATGGACCTGTGGAAGATTGTTATTTGAACTTGAATAGTTACATTCAGATGACGGACCAACGGGCACTCCAGACCGGAATACTTGAACATAGTTGAACCGTTGACGGTCAATCAACCATGCCTGCCCTGAGACAGATATGTAATTTATATATGTCAGTCCCAAAGAGGTCGTGCCTACAACCATAAGTTCAATTCGAAGCACTTGATGCTTTTCCAGGTCAGCCTGAAAGCTCCTTGTTTGTTGATTTTCTGGCCTGTTTTAGTTCTTCTTTTCCCTCCTGCATTGTGAAGACCAACCTCAGTTTGGCGAATTTGACCGATTTGACATGATTTCGACCTCAGTCCTCATCTTCGTCTGCATCCGCATTTTGCTCCTCTTCTTCCAAGCCAGGACTCAAGGCATCCTCCTGGTTTTCTCGGTCCCAGATTGGCAAAGGAACGGATGGATGGCTGCATGGATGGATGCTCAGTTGATCATCACATCCCACCTCTGTGGTGGTTTTCTCTGCCAAACATCGATTCGATGGTCGTTTGTCGGTGATGTGCGGTGCGCCGCTGCATCCGAAAAATCGGAACACTTCAAACTTAAGTCTTCTGGGCACTATGTACATTGACTCCATATTATGAACTAGCTGGAACGTGTGCTTGTTTTTCAGCTCCATCCTGGGGGACCTCGTGCTCATGCGATCAGATGGAAAACACCCCGGAAATCTGTCTCAAACGGGTTTCGGCAGCGAGTTGCAGAATGAAACATCCGTGCAGACGTGGCATGGACATGCAGTCCATGCTGATATATGATTTCAAGGTGGGAAATTAATGAAACTAACAACTCCTCGAGCGTTCCCTGGGGTTTCCTCAGCCCTTGGTCGACCTTGATCCTTGGATTCAAAAAATTAAAACACAAACGTTTTCGATGGACTATTTGCCTACATAGACCCCAGGCCAACTACCCCAATGTAGGTAAATAATGGTATTTATATAATAGGCCATACATGGGGGATATGTTCTTAAAATGTACTAATCCGAGACCTGTGCCTTTGCGAGCTGAAACCACCCCCAACTGCAAAAAAATATGATTTTTACGACCTCCTCCTCTGGAAACCCATCTGAGGGCCCTGGTCTCCTCGTTTCCGAGGGTCTTCTCGTGCGTCAGCAGCTGGAAGATCAAGTACGCCACGTAGGAGGACCTCAAGCACTTAAGGTGCCAAATGCCTCTCCGACATGACTCCCAGCACGCACACGTAAAACAGTATAAAAACAATAGAGAGGCTGGCGCTGCACGGGGGCGGCACTTTTTAACCAAACAGTGTGACCACACTGAAGGTTCTTATACGGCAATAGTTAAGGCTGGGCGGCTAATTTAACTGCTACATTTTTATGCAGTACGTGCATTTGACTCGAGATCTTCGAAGTGCATTTCGACTGCGCAGGCTCGCAGAATCAGCTGGGTGCGAGCGGGTGCTCTTCTCAACTGCGCTCTCGTCGTGGCGCTGTGCGCATTTTCGGACTTGGTGGTCATTTTTGTGCAGGCGCAAAAAAAACACGTGTTTTGTTGGTCTTAAGTCGGCGTTTCGTGGCAGGAGCGGTTTTACTTCCATGTGCAGACCTCGTGGGAGGCGCAGCACTGTGGACGCGGTCTCTGATTTCGTGGCAGGTGCAGTAGATCGTGACCTTCGTTTTCAGAAATCGGGGGAAGTCTCAAGCGAAAACTGCGTTTTGGCATCTTGATGTTTTGAAGTGCTCTTGCTGCTAAACGCCTTGGCTGCGCGATGTGAATCTTGCAGCAGGCGCAGTACTTTTTGTGCACCTTGAAGTGCAGATTTCGTGGCAAGCGCAGTTTTTTGTGGACCTTGAAGTAGCTGGAAGAGGTCCACCAGCAAGAGCCCTTCCATAGCTGCAGTGCATTTTGAAATGGGACCCACAGTCCTGTGAAGAGCAGGAGATGTGTTGAGCGCAGTGGTGAGAGGCTTCTCAAATTCCAGGGCACCTCAGCCCGCTTGCTTCCCATCCAAGAATGGAAGAAAAACATCCCACTTCGAGGGGTTGCTTCCATGCAGAGGTGAAAACATTTGTAGAAACCAAGTCGCCTTTGATGGACATCGCTTCACCGACTAACATCACCAGCCCATCCAGTCGAAGCGTCAAACGACCTTTTTTCCGTGGCGCACATCACACAAGAGGGCTCTGGAACTCAAAGGCGCAAACCCAAAGGGCGAGGTTCCTCCGGAGCACCTCTGGACGTCGAATCCTCGTGGGGAGGAGACCTTCGACCTTGGGAGGCCCGATCCCCTCAAAGCTCAAGGCTTTGGGCCAAAGAGCTTATCCTAAAACCGTCTTCAGAAGCTCAAAAGCAACTGATTCTGTGGGATATATTGCCTGAATTCCATTGATGGCCATCAGATCATACTTGAGCGAGTTTAGACGTAATTGACAAAACGTCAAAGGCAGAAACACTGAGCATTGATGTGATTTATCTGAATCACTCACCGCTGAGATGTATCCAGAAATGCGAAGTGATAGATATAGCTGCCAAGTGACAAAGATCACTGACTTGCCAATCAAATCCTTCATGGAATTCGCATCAAAAGCTGAATTTGCAGTGTAGCCTGGAGCTGATGAATTCGATGATCCAGGAACCCCATCAGCTAAACTGCCTCCTTCTCTCTTCCTTGGTGTTGGAGTCTCCTTTAGAGGTGCTTTCTCATATTGTTTGTTCTCATCAATGCCTCCAGGATCCTCTCGATTACCACGACGCTTGTCTTTCTTCTTCTCCTTTTTGTCCTTCTTCTTACCTCCCGGCCTCAGAAGAATTCCATCCACAATTCTGGCTCCACCTCCAGATGATTGTGGCGTTGATTCTGAAGTCTTCTGATCTGAGATCTCAGTCTCAGGTTGGTTATCTTTGCCTCTACCCTTACCCATTTGAGCAAGGCTGCGGAGTGTAAGGAAGTGACTCTTATACTTCGACAGAAGTGACTCTTATACTCTTATAGATAAGTTAGAGTTTAAGAACTCTAACTTCTACATATTATTAGTAAATATATTTAATTAACTGTAATGATATAGGAGCTCAAGACCTTCACGCCTGGAGTTCCAAGACCTATAGGCCTCTAGATCTCGCCTCTGCAACTCTAGAGCTCCCAAGGCCTCAGACCTCAAGAGCGCTAGACCTCGACCCTCCACCTCTAGCGCTCGACCTCGACCCTGGATCTCTGATCTGACCTCTAAACCTTGAGACCTCTCGGTCTTCTACGCCTCTAGAAGATCTCGGCCTCCATCTCTGATTCTCACTCTCAAGACCCCATTTTTGTGGATCTCTAGACCTCTGGATCTCAAGACCACTAGACCTCTGGATCTCTCTCCCATACGTCTATATATAGATCTCTAGACCATTTGCCTCTACACCACTGGACCTTAGACCTCTAGACACACTGTTTGGGGTTTCTTGTGGGCATATGTTTAAAACTATGTTTTTGGTGTTTCAACTTTTCAACCGCCCGAAACAGCAAACAAACATCCAGAGAACTCCCTTTCAAGTCCTTCTCCCCTCTCCACGCCTCTCCAAGCCCCGCTGGGCGTCCCGGGCAAGACGATACAAGCACCTATGCGCGAGACCTGCGCAACGTCACTTGCGTGACCCCCACAAAAGGGATCCCAAAAGAGGTCGGTGCCCCTCTCTGCCACGGTGGCCTGGACGTCTTAAACTTTTTTTGGAAGGTTCGGTATGGTATATTTTAAATAGTTAGGCCTAGGACCGGCCCAGGAGGGGCTGGGTCATTTTTGGATCCTGGTGGTTGATGTGTATGATCTGCATGCGATGAATCAACTATTAAACTATTGAAGACTTCTCCTGCAGAAAGACCAACTTGTGAAATGATCCATTCAAAAGGCAGTACAACCTGGAACCCCAAACAACCAGAAACAAATTGTTGTTCCAATATGGCAATTGAAATCCTTTACATAGGAAATGGTTGTTTGGGGAAACATCCATTTCTTTCTGGTTGTTTGGGGTTTCAGGAACACATGAAACTTGTACACAGAACTTGGCCAACCAATACTCTCTCTGTAAAAACCCGAGGCGAAACTAGTTCCTACTGCTACAGAAGTAGGGTGCGAACCCCTGGTGCAGTATCAAGTCCATCTCTCCTCTTTGATGGATCTTGATGAGGCCATGTTGTTCCATTTTCGGTGTTCTTCATGGGACGTCAACTGGGTGAGTCAGTCTCGCTTCCAGGGCACTATAGTCATTTCACGGCCGATGGATTCACTTGTCCAAACCGTCCAGTAGAGATGGCATGAGAGGATTCAAACCATTCTATATTCAGGATCGCAACACGCGTAAACAAAACATATTAAAGAAGAAGAAGAAGAAGAAGAAGAAGAAGAAGAAGAAGAAGAAGAAGAA